GCGCCGTCCAATTATTACTTGTTCCGTTCGATGGCACATGTTCTGGCTGATCAGCAGTTTCGCTCATATGAAGACATAAAAAAATGGCTTGATTCGTGGATAGCCTCACAAGACGAACGCTCTTACCGTAACGGTATTCGAGCTCTGCCAGAAAGATGGGAAAAAGTTGTAGCTAGCGATGGGCAATACTTTGAATGATTCATTTGTAATCATTTTTTCACAATAAAGTTGCATTTTCATAAAAAAAAACAGCGAGAGCTTAGTTGCGCACTTAATATTTGCCATCAAAAGTTGATAGCAAGCTCTGCTCGAAATCTGCTCGCGCAGGTTTAGCTATCTGGGTATTCTTTAAATAGTTGCATATACGTAAGTTTTACTGCGCAGCTATTTTATGGTATGATTAAACCTGCGCAGTAAAACTTACGTATACGCAACTATTTCAAGAATAAGGGCCCAGTTCACTTCTTTAAGAGACTTCTTCTACTGAAGAACTTTACTAAAAAATTATGGATTAATAAAAACGTATACAAATTTCATACACACACACTGTATAAATACTTAATTGAAATACTATATTCTTTATCAAAACACGATTTTATATAGATTTATCTTGTGTAATTCTATCAGATCCTCTAAGCAGGGAAGTAAACTGGAATGTTTGCGAAACATAGAAAACAAATCCATCCGCACACTCTTATCCGTATATCCTGATCATTCGTTCGTTTAAAATGAAAAGTAAAATTTGCCTACTTGACGATCTCGGTATCTTGACTCCAGGATTTGGACAAGTACGTGGTCGGCGACGACTATCTGCCGATCTGGAAGGTGCCATCTTTAAAGAAGTACTACGCGGAGCTCGGCTACTCGATGAAGGACTCCTTCGACGCTTATGTTCGGGAGCAGGGCAAAGATCCCGCGGAAATGTGGGAACGCGCTTACGACGCTATCCGCGAGGTCTTCCTGATGAAGGAGTCTCAGATCAGAGAGATCTCTAAGCGCGTCGGCAACGGCAGGAACTTCTTCGAGCTCATGCGATTCGACCTGGTGCTCGACGAGGACTTGAATGTCTACACGATGGAGGCGAACATGTCGCCGAATCTCTCATCAGCGCATTACCCACCGAATCAGCTGCTTTACGAGCAGGTCATATTCAACACACTCGCGCTGGTCGGTGTCGGCAAGAGAATCAGAAGGAGATCTCTGAAGACGAGGTGAGCGCGAGGCCTGACGAGAGAAGTGGCGGGAATTGATCCGACAAAAGAAAGAGACAATTAATATATTATTGACACGTTGACACCGCAGTAGCAAAGCGGAAGAAGATATGGAGGTGGCGGATAAAAACATCGTGGTATTGCCGGAGCTCTGCAGAGAATGCGACGATTGCTTCCGCGTGGAATGTCAATTGTGCAGGCCGTGCTTCACGCCGGAAACGCGGCTCATTTTGTCGCAGAGTTATTTGGAGCATCAGAATCGAATGGACTTTCAGCGAATCTTCCCACCTTCTATAGTAAGTTGTACCCGCGTGTGTCTTCACGCGTTGTTCTTAAGTCCGAATCTATGAGGTGTACGTGTAGTGAGTCTTTAATCTTATGCTTTAAGGTTTATAATTTCTGATAAAAAACATTTCTCGTGCTGCTCTTATAGTTGGAATCTGACCAACTCGCTTGAAGCGAGTGATTGTGACTTAAGGATTGTGACTTCAAGTAGCAGCGTGAAATATTTTTAATCGAAAATTACGCTACAGTTTCGAGTTTAGAGCATAAAATTAAAGGACCAGTACACCTATTGCAGAGCGGAGCTAACCGAATATACTTTTTACAGAGGAAGGACATGGTTTCAAAGGATTATACCTTGAGGAATCAGTTGCTTATTAGATGGTATCAAGGTAAATGCGAAATGGACAAGACGTGGTGTATTTGATGCTCAGAACACACATGAAGATATTGAGCAAATCAAAAGTACATTGTAGAGGATTCTGACATATTGCTTAATATTTATTTCTGATTCTTTTTAGTCTTAATATCGAGTATGAAGTACCCATAAAAGTGTACATATAGTTCTAAAATTCAGCGGGACCAAAACGAAAGGAATTTATGACAATATGTAAAACGCACGCAAGATAGAAACACAGCTAATAATATTAATGTTAGGCTTAATATTATTGTTATTTGTTGCGCTATTTGTACATTGTACATAAAGAGTACGAAAAAGCTGTACATCACAGTTAAATATCTTGGCGCGAATGTATAGCCACTGAGAATAAAATCAAACATATCTTACATTTACTGGAACGACACACGTCGAATTAAATATAAACGACAGTTTCATATAAACGTAAACGTAAAAAAATATGTGTAACAGGAGGAGAATTATTTGTTATCTGTTAAGAGAGCTTCCTTCACTTTACGTGCCTTTTTGATCTTCGATTCAGGTGCGTTCGGGTTCGAGCCTTTGTAGAAGTCTTTGAGCAATCTCATGGCCTCGTCTGCCTTCACGTTTCCCTGTATCGTTATCTTTTGTTGGTAGAAGTTCGGCACCTCAAGGACGCTGACGCAACCGCCAAATCGATCGTTCGCACAGCCATACACGATACTGCGTACACGCAGCTGAAGTAACGCCGAAACACACATAATGCATGGCTCCACGGTGACGATCACGTCGAGATCACGAAACACCGTCTCGTGGTCCAGCTGCCTTTCTTTGCAAAACCTCAAGACTTGGTCAATGCAATTAATCTCCGCGTGACGAGTCGCATTGCAGGTCTCGTTCACCGTATTGTTGCCCGTTGCGATCACCTCGTTGTTGTACACGAATAGACAGCCCACGGGAACCTCACCCTCTCGCAGAGATTTCTCAGCTTTTTGCAACGCGACGTCCATCCATGCCGAAGTATCCATATTGACAGACATTGTTATACCAGCTATACAGTGTGGCATAACTTGACGATCTTTCCGAGTTGCAGATGCGAATTTTTTAAGGGACAAACTAACAGTTTGTGAGAGCGATCATACAAAACTTTTGATTTCGTTGTGAAAATAAACACTAGAAAAAAAGAAAAATATAGATATCGTCTCGTGATTCAGACATTGTCTTGTGGAAGATATTGTCGTAAAAAGAAATAAGTCCCAACTACTGAAATTTATATATCTTTAAGACAATGGTCGTATGATATGCGAGACTAAAGCGCATTTTATAATTGTGTATTGCGCAAGTTTTAGGCATCTGCAGTTTTGAAAAACTTCATCAACTTCAATTCATTTAATTGCTGCAAAGCTTTCTCATTCCAGTTTCCATTGCCTACAGCTCTTGGACTAGGATGTGGTAAGAACATCACCTGAAAGTGTCACAATAAGGGTCAGAAAATCTCACTGTATCAAGATTAAAGCTTAATAAATACCAACTAACAGCAACGTTAATATTACGATGTCTCATTCAACAATGTGACTACTATGTGCAACATTTGGTATATTTATAACATTGACGCAATGTCACTGTATTAGTTGATGTTTATTGGATAAGATAAATTGCAATAAGTGAGATATAAAAAAATATTACTTGTGCCTTAAGACCTGCCGTTTGGACTGCAATCTGTGCCCTTTTTTCAGCATACCTACCAATGCCAACAATAATCTCCACTTTCAGGAGCTGTACAGCATCCGCTAAGGACTTGTCGCATGCCTTGTGCAAAAGCTCTGATCCCTCACCCTGAAAAAGATATCAGATGGTTCAGCATCGTAGAAGAGCATGCAGCGAAAGAAATATTGCCTTTAATTCTGCCGGAGTGATGTTGCGAGCACTGGCATCCATGAGTGCAAGGGGACAATAATTGTGCATGTATGCATTTTGAAAGAAGTTCTCTGGACTACCACACAGCTCTTGGAAGAGACCCCACAGTCTCTTGCCACTGATCTCACTGCGTGTACATTGAAATCCTGTGACCTTTCGTTGGGGATGCTCCTTCGGCGGAGTATCAACAGAACCCGAGATCTTAAGCCAATTGCGCACCATGTTAATTTCTCCGAATGGCACGCCAGTTTGCGACATGCCCCAAGGGCCGGGATTCATCCCGAGGAACAAGACCTTCTTCGGGCCGTTGCAGTACTTGCGCACGTACATGGCATGCGTGTCGTATGCGTATTCCAGTGGATTGTAAACATACTGCACCGACTTTTGAAAGGTGATACGTTGTACTTTGGCACTGAGCTCTTTCTCGATCGATAAAAGTTTGTCGGCGGTAGACTCCGGCGTTGTTTTCACAACCGGATCTCCATTCTTTTCTGTGCTATTCTGTTCAATATCCAGATCTACCGGTGTCTCATTGTTGCTCAGCTCCGACGTATCTGTGTCCATCCGTTTCAATCTTTTCGTTCGCGAGTTCTCGCCCTCCGCTCTGGTTCTTTTTTTAGGCGGCATGGCCGTCTTTGATCTGATATCAACTTAAAACTACCAACAGGTGTTTTCGCAAATTTTACCCGCGTGGACGCGAGCGAGGGAGTGATGCGGGTTATCTTTCCCGAAAACTTTATCACATCTACTACTGGATGTGTATCTGAAGTGATTCAATCAGTATAAATTAACTTGAAAAACAACTATTTCTTACGCTCGAAAGTTGGTTCTTTATGTATTGTTTACGAAAAATTTGAATCAGGCCTCAAGATAAAATGGTAATTATATATTTTTAGGTTGCAATGTTACGGGTTACATGAATTATTGTGAATTCAAAGCCGAGTTTCGACGATGTGTAGCTGCAGTTTGAAAGCCGGATTTCACACTACTTGTCGTTTTCCGTTACACGCCTAGCAAAGAAAAGGATAGCCTACCTGTTTCGTGTTCCCTCGCAGAATTGTATAATATGCGGTAGAGCTACTCGTTTGATGCACTTGTTACACTTTGTCCTACTTCTCTTCCTCTTCTTCTAAAGGATAAATGTATATCTGTCCGAGTTTGAATGCATAAAGTGCTAGAAACATGTAGAAAGTGTATGTCTGCAAGCACGTGCACTTGTTGCAACAGCTGTTTTTCTTTAGACCGATGGCGCGCGCACTAACAGATTGCTTGGCGCCATCTAACGATGTCGCGAGAAACCCGTATAACGCGTGGTTTGAATCTCGGCTAAAGGACCGTTGCGATTAGACCCGATATTTTTAGTTCAAAAATCTCCGCTACGAGCCGCCACTTCTCTCCGTGAAGATTTGAGCGCGCAGTACGACTTACCGACAAGTCAGACGTACGAAGAACGTTTCTCGTTTTTGCACGTTTTTGCTAAGTATACTAATTGTTAATTGTTCGAGTAAGCATATTTAATGTTTAATCTGTGATAGCTTTGTGTGTGGCATATGTTAAAAGTGATCTAACAAGAAACTCGAAAATTTTTGATTGTACAATATTGTGTAATACTTCCACACGGCTAGTGACCGAAGTTAGGTTAAGTTAACCGAAAGTGTTTGAATATAATTGTACAGATACACGATGGAGAATCAAAATCCACAGGCTGTCAAGAGTAATAATCCCGCACCGACGGTGGAACAGATCAACGCTGACAGGATTACTCAGGTATATAATCATTTTACTGAATTTATGTGCAAGGATAATATTTTATATTCCGAGAGAGATTTTGTCAACGAGACAACTTTATTTTGTTTAACTTTTCTATCAGATTGTTCTCTATCATATTGCAGCTTGCGAATAAATATTGGGCGCCACACACTACAGATACGCATTTACCGTTCAAGTCTCAGGTAGTGGAAGATATTTACGTACAGGAAATATGCACATCCAAGTTCTCCATTCGAAGGATCATGATGTTGGAGTTCAGTCAGTACCTGGAGAATTTTTTGTGGCTCAACTATGACGCGAAGAATGCCAAACGAGCACACACCATGTCCATCGTTGTTATGGTGAACGAAAAGTTCAGAGAAAGAGTGCAAGTTTGGGAAGCGTTTGAAAAGAATCCAACTCATTTTGCTGGATTCTTTCAAAACGTTCTAGAAGCATGCCTAGAAGAAAGCATAGCAGACTTTGAATTGAAGGAGCAAACAGCATTGATAGTGTTTCTGAACCACTGTTTTAATTCGATGGAAGTATCGTTGGTTAGAGAGGAAGTGAAGAGATTGGTGTCGCTGTCTATGTGGATCTCCTTGCAACAAGGCAGAAGGGAATTGGAATTTAGGAAGTATCCAAAGTGGAGGAAGTATTGGAAAATTATTAGAAAGAAGGATAACCCAGAACATAAGGAGAGACTTGAATGGGAACGTAGATTCTTGCACAAATTGATGATCAAATTTATGACAATACTGGAGACAATTCCTGCTGAAGGTACAAATCTCTTAGTTACATTATTTAATCAAATTTTATTTTATAAAGAAATACAATTTTTTTATATGATTATTGAGTTTTAAATAAAACTGCGAATTTTAAAGGAATTTTCTCTGCACCAGATTCTCTGGTTCTTGTTTATATAAATTGTGACACTGAATTGTTATTTTTAACTATATGTATCTTTTGCAGGAATTGTATTAGCAGACAAAGTGCGTTACTGTGAAAGGTTCCTGGAACTGATTATCGACCTGGAAGCCTTACTACCTACTAGACGTTTCTTCAACACCGTCATGGATGACAATCATCTGGTAGTGCGTTGTCAGCTGTCCAATCTGCTACATCGTCCAGAGGGCAGTTTGTTTGGTCAGGTAAGTGTTTACTAAATGTCACTAAACGCATGTAAAGCATGTGAAACAATTTAATCCGAGATATTGAATTCACTTATCCAAGCTTTATATTTTTTTCATGTACAAAAATTG